TCTGCAAAGGGTTACAGCTCTTCCCCTTGCTCATTCTCTTGGACACAGCAGGGAATTGTTCAGCCCAGAGGCACAAACCCTCATGTCCCACAGCGGCTGCTCCCAAGGCACAGGGGCAAGTTATTTTTAAACCAAATGCTGGGCTGAAACCAAATTGGACATCAAATATCTTCCTTGAACAAGAGTGACTTACTTCTCCCATTTCCCATAAATTAATCCAGCTGGCAGCAGGGAGGCTCATATACCCAAACTTGATTTATTTTTTTTCTCCCCTTCAAAGCACTTCTATCAGTGCTTATTCCAGGATAAAAAAAGTATGTCCAAAAAAGGCATTTGGTTTTATTTTTAATAAAGGTTATTATTTTACCTTCTAGCACACCTGGGTGATGCCACCAACCATGGGAGGGGTCGAAGGCACATTTTTGGGAGCTGTGTCCCATGCAGGTTATCTTCTAAAGAAGCAGTGCCTCATTGGGAAGGCATCAGCCTGCGGCCAGGGAGGGTCCGGGTCTCTCCCATCCGTAAGAAGCTTACGTGTGTCCCTGCCTGGAATAGCAGGTAGCACATGAGCAAAGGTTATTACACTCCTAATCAGATTGTATCAGCTGGATGAACATTTACAGCCTTTTTTAAGACAGTTGTCTAAGAGTAAAGAGAAGGAGGGTGTGTACCACCTCTGATATTTTATATTTCAGTTGCTGCTTCGTGCAGAAGAGAAATACATATTAAATTACTTTGGCTAATCTGCTTCCTCAAGGATCTAGCTTTGTCTTTGAAACACAGCAAGAAAAAAACTTGCCTTATTTGCTGCTTCCCCCCCCCCCAAAACCACCTTTCAATAGTCTCTCACTGGAGCCTCCCACCAGCAGGCAGGTGCCGGCAGGATCCTGTTGCCTGTGAGTCGCATCTGCCCATAGATCGCGTTGCAAAAAGACATCACTGGCGAGGAAAGCTGGTCAGCGCGGTGGGGACAAACTCCTCCCCAGCATCACGGCTGCAATGAGTCTCATTTACTAAAGCAATCATAAACTGACCTATTTTTTCCATGCCAGCTTTGCGCTCCTTGGCTTTGCAACAGAGCTGCATCTGGCCAAAAAGAAAACCCCTCCTGGAAGCACCATGAGATGCGGCATGGAAAGTTTGGGTTGCTTGCTTTTCCCCCCTCAATTGTTCCTCTCCTGGCACGTTGCTCGTGCCCTTACGTGCCTCCGGGATTAGGAACCTGCTGGGATTTCCCCTCCCCACCATCATGGGTTGCGTAACTGATGATACTCTGAAAGTGTGTGTATTTAATGTCCTGCTCCTGCCAGTTTTGCCTCCTGGCCCATTTCTGTCCATGGCAAAAGGCTAAAAATTTATACAGTCTTTTCCTCTCAGAAGGGAGCTGCCCTTCCTGGGGTCTGCAGGGCTGCAAGCCCTGGCATAGCTTTACCCCATGCGTGCAATGAAGCCCTCGCCACCAAAGAAAATGCAAAATACCCTAATAAGGCTTCAATTTTTTAATTACACACTGGCATGGGAAAATAACAACCTGACTGAGCAGCATCTTTCCTTTTGGCTGGGAAGCAAGCACCCCAGCGCTTTCCTTCCCTGCGCTGCCGTCACCCCCTTTATACCCCAAATTGCATTTTCTCTGTTCTCATCCAGGTAGGAACCAAATATTACCGAGGCATCTGATTCCCAAGAAAAATCCAAGGTAGAGGAGTTCTACTTAAAAGAGACTATTCTGTGGTGAGACCAGAAAACAAACCAAGTTCTGCAAAATGCATTTCATGAGCCTTCCGAATGCAGCACTTATTTTCACTTATTTTTGCCTTTGGAGCCTTTAAAGTGGTTTCCTGATGAGCTAAGCATGATTTTAGATGGGGTGAGCTTGAGCCCAGAATTTTTGCCTGCTCCAGGGTGTGACATCGGGATGGGGACAGGCTGTGGGACTTCATCCCTACCTCCAAACCCAACCAAATTACCCCCAAACGCCAGTAAGTCTCCCACAAACTATTTTAATGCCTTACCCTGCCTTTGCAAGCTGTGGCTAATTCTCCAAGCAGTCCAGACTTATGTGAATAAAAGTGTTTTGCATGAATTAAAGAAAAAAAAAAAAAAATCAATGAGAAACAATGAAGCAGGGTCAGATGAACTTGGGTCCTTTGCCAGCTCATCATTAAACCAAAGTCAGCGTTTTCCATTTGTTACAAGAAAAACCCATCCCATTAATGCTTTCTAACCTGGCATGAACCTCCATCACACTTAACTCCCATTATTTCCCCGTCCCCTGTCATTGCCTGAGCTGCGGCTGAAGAGGGGCCAAACCTCCAGCGGAGATCAATGCAGCTCTTGGTTTGCTGCCGGGAGAAATTTTTCTCTGAGATGCTAAAGAAACCATGTGGCACATGGCTCTGTTAAATAGATGCTGTGGATATACTGGTTTGGGTGGTTTTAGCACTGCTAACTTCCACAATAAATGAAAAATTAATTAATAGCCAATAGGCTGCTCCTGCTCGATTTGCAGCTGGGATCTGACAGAGTTTCTATATTTCCCCAAACAAGGCCAGAACTTCCTCTGAAATATATTATTATGGAAAAATCCTGATTTTTAGAAGCCATGGATGAATTCACCACAACCATCCCATTCCCGGTCTGTATTTCTTTCTTTTCCTGGCTTTGTTCAGCTAGCCCACTGAAGAGTATTTGAACCAAAGCAAGGGAATCAGGAGCCATCTGTGCTTTCACAGGAGGAATAAATATGCCTGTGTATTGCAGGAGAGAGCTTCAACAGGCTCACTGACCTTAATCCTGCCCCCGTTATTTAATTTTCTCCTCCAGAAATTAATATGCATGTCTCCCCAGTGCAGCCAAAGCGCCCAGCACAACCCATTTCCCTACCAGACAAAAATTATTTTTTTTTAACATAATCCAAGCAGATGGATAAACAAGCGTATGGAGCATCGGGGTGAAAATCCTCTTTATGGCCAGATGTGCTCTATGGTCCAGGGGCGGGAGCATCACTGGGATGGCTGTACCTGGGCTGGCTATTTCGGGCAGCAAAACCTCAGGAGGGTTTTGGCTATATTGCGTGCTTGTGCAAAATTGGTCTCAATACAATTAGTTTCAAGCTTCATTTGCGTCTCCCAACCACCATGCAAGCATCCTGGGTTGCTCTGGCCTCAACCCATTTATTATAGCCCATCCTAACCCTAAAGGATGGGAATAACTCCCCATCCCGGTCTTTAGGTCTCTACAGCCACACATACCCTTGCCCTCCAGAAAACACTGCTGTAAAACCCCCAGCTTGCCATTAGCATCCCATATAATTTTTAATTGCCTTCTGTGGCATTTCCTCCCATTAAATATCGGAATACCTCAACATAAAGCATGACCGGTCTGTGCAGGAGTGCGTTTTACTCCTTTGGAGCGAGACAAACTCGGAACAGATTCATCCTTTTCCCTGTAGGTCTGAGTCTATTTTATTTTTCTGCCCATCAGTGTGCAGAGCACCTATTTCACAGGATAATGGATTTGGAGCTGCAGCTGGCAAGTGCTAAAAGCATCTTTTCCTCTCCTAGAGCCCCGACCCCGAGATTTCCAGACAAGCCCCAAACCCTGCCGATCCCATCGGTATTTCTTGAATAAACCATCCAAACGCTGCAATCTTCCAGCCACCCATTTGGTCACCGGCATTGCCTTCCACACCGGTATCTGCTGGGAGGGACGATGGGGGAGTCAACCCAAATTTTGCGGGGTGCCGGCTGCAGTATTCCCGAGGCAAAGAAGATGCATGCTGGCCAGGCTGTGCAGGGTTGGGCTGCGCAGAAGCCAGCTCCTCCCTCTCGCTATTTATTCCTCCCCGTAGCTCTGCGGCCGAGGCTGAATCACCCCGAACCAAGCAAGCAACGGGCTCCCAGCTGGTGAGTGTCGGGGAAATGGGACGTGGGGGCTTCGGGTGGGATAAAGCCAGAGGCGAGGGGGCTTTTAACACCGAGCAGCATCACAGGGGATGAGGGGGCTGCCTCCTCTCCCCACCATCGCCACCTAAAAATACACATTTCCAGCTCCGAAGGCGAGCGTCCTCCTTAAAAGACAGAGCTCTGCTTCTCGCCCAGCGCTTGTTTACTCAGGGCTGATTCAAAGCTATTGCTGGTGGGGAAATTTCTTCCCCCCACTGCCCACCCCAAGGAGCTACCTGGAGGGTTTTGTTCTTTCCCACAAAAATCTCCCAGCTGCACAGGACTGTGCTCCCCCATTATTTGGGGAGTTAAAAAAAATGGGGGGGGGGGGGGGTTCTAAAAACTAGGGGTGGCATTTTGAGAAAGCAAACTGCCAGCTGCATCCCCCCTTCCCCATAGCCCCAGCCCTGATTTTTCACCCCCCATGAGTCAGGACTTTCCCAGCATTGCCTGGAGGGTCCGGACACCCCCATTCCAGAGCATCTTCCCACCCTCCTCACCACATTGCTCCTTCCCCTTCCCCACCTCCCTTCATTTCTTCTCTGCCCTCAGGCACCTTAACAAGGTTATTTCTGCAGTTATTTTGGCACCAGGGTGTTGGTTTTCCTCTCCAAACCGAAGCCGCCTTCTTACCAGCCCTGCGCACATAATTGCTGCTTGCGATTGCTCCTCACATCCTCCATTTTCCACTTCCCCCTCTGCCCTGAAGGAGCACCGGGTTTCCTCTGGTTCTCCAACACAAGGGCAGATATAAATTGCTCCGATATAAATCACCTGAATTAATTTCTCATTGCCTATGTTCACCTGCAGAGAGGGAAAATTGGGGAGGAAAGTTAAAAAGAGTCAGGAAAAAATACCTGTGAGGCCATTCGATAGTATAATTTAATAATAATATTACATCACACCGTAAATATTATTTCCAAGCAGAGGAAATGCAGCTCCAAACCAGAGGAAGCGGCTCCCTGGTCCCCATTGCACGCAGGGGGTTTGGGCCAGCGACCGCATTTATTCAGGGTGAATCTCAGCTGCCTGAGGACCTGGGTAATTAGTAGCACAAACACAAATAAGCCTTTGCCCTGTTTATCAGAGCTCAACTCTGCGAAGGCAATTAGAGGAACAGGTTGGTGCTGCCAGGCCAGAATATCCTCCGGGACCTTGCCATAACCTGGTTTCATCCAGGGGCTGATTTTTTCCCCCCTTGCAACTCACTGTGGGGAGTCACACATCTTAAAAAAAATAATACTTGCCAATTTGCTGCTTTTTTCCCCTATTCCCTATTTTTTTTTGAGTGCCCAAAGAGCGTTCGCCCATCTGAGTTTTTGCCGTGTCTTTCAGCTATTTTTAACCCCCCCGATCTCATCCCTGCTCACTCCCAGCGGGTGGGGGCTGCAGGGCGAGGGAGGCAGCAAACCTGCTCGAAAGCAGGCGTCTTGCACCCAATTTTTTTACAAGACGGCGCCAAGCAGCCAACCTGAGCCTGGCTTTCCTCCCCATCACAAAGGACAGCCTCTTGTATCTTCCCTGCTCTTTTAATTAAGCCCCTTGCTAACCATCCCAGCCAAAACGCTGACATTAAAGGACCTTCACTCAAACATTTCCTGATATAAGACCAGATTTTGGGGGGAGGTGGAGGAAAGAAAGAGCATCAGTGTCTGAACCCAAGGAGAGATTAATTTGCTTTTTATGGACCATAAAACTACAGCTAATGTGCAACAGAAGAATTTCTGGCTTAAACAGGGGTTTGTTCTGCCTGTTTGTGCTGTTAAGGGCGGTACCTCATGGGAGACCATCATCTCTTTTCTGCATTGAACTTAATCTCTGGGCTGAGTGCCGACTCTTAAGGAAGCTGGTCCATTAGTTGCTGCAAAAAACTCCACTCCAGACCCATACCTTAATTGTTTCTTGCTGTAATGTGAGCCAGAAAGAACATCCAAAGCATCCAAGGATGCTGCGAAATGCCTACCCACGCTTTGCTGGGAATGCTTCGCCCTCCCTCCCCCCCAGCATCCTGGCATGCACAGGGGAATTTTAGGGATTGCTCAGCCACGGGCAGGATAGAAAAAACCTTTGCTATTGCTGGGCTCACATATTAAACACGAGGGTCACAGTAATGCAATGCTCCTCGGCGTTGCGGGGAGGAATCTGAAGGGATTTTGCAGCTTGCGAGATGTTTTCCAAAGCATTTGCAGACCTGATGTGTATTACAAATGCTGGATTATACACAGGGTGAGAAATGGCTCATTAAAATGGGATTGCATGCTTGCCAGCCCACCAGCTAATGTAGGAGACGCCTGGCATGCCCCTGGGATGCCAGCAGCAAAACACTGAGCAAGCAGTTATTTGCAAACACATTAAACTAGAAAAATGCTGTTCTTCAGTTAAGGCCTGTTGCACATCAACAGGGACTTGGGCAAAACATGCTGAATTTTATTCTCTGGGAAAAAAACAACCTCCGGGGCAAGGCGAGGCACTGCCCTCCTTGCAGCCCTGGGTAACCAAAAGCTTTGAGTCTGGGCTGAATCTGTTCATAGCCATCAATTCTTGCATAGCAGAAATCTCATTTATATAATCTGATTGGATAGAGCAGGTTTGGTAAGTGGATTTTTACCTCCCAACCAAGTGAAGCATTTTTCCCAAAAGCTTTTCTTCCACTACTTAAAATTGCCATTACTAGCAGAAGACCTGTTGGGGAGGTGGGGGATACATACATACATACATATATATATGCGTGTGTGTGTGTGTGTATTAAAAAAAAATACATATATAAAATATTTTAAAATATATATATAAAAATAAGGGGGATTGGGAAGGATAAATATGCATTTAAGTCCAAAGCTGTTTGTTCTGCAGCTGGATTAAAGGATATGTGTTTTATACGATGCATAAGTAAGGGAGTCTAAAGCCTGTGATGCTCGCGGCAGCACGGATGCAGGGGCTGTGGGGTCTCTGCCTTCTGCCCGTAACACTCCCTGTCCTTGTGTCCCGCAGCCATGGCCAGGCTCCTCGTCACCTGCTGCCTGGTGGCCCTGTTCCTCGGCGCCTTCACCGACGTCGCCTTCTCAAAGAAGAGCAAAGGCAAACCCAGTGGAGGAGGCTGGGGAACGGGGAGCCACCGCCAGCCCAGCTACCCCCGCCAACCCGGCTACCCCCAAAATCCTGGCTATCCCCACAACCCAGGGTACCCCCACAACCCAGGGTACCCCCACAACCCCGGGTACCCCCACAACCCAGGCTGGGGACAGGGTTACAACCCATCCAGCGGAGGAACCTACCACAACCAAAAGCCATGGAAACCCCCCAAATCCAAGACCAACTTCAAGCACGTGGCCGGGGCAGCAGCGGCGGGCGCCGTGGTGGGAGGTTTGGGGGGCTACGCCATGGGACGCGTCATGTCGGGGATGCACTATCGCTTCGACAGCCCCGATGAGTACCGATGGTGGAACGAAAACTCGGCGCGTTACCCCAACCAGGTTTACTACCGGGATTACAGCAGCCCCGTCTCGCAGGACGTCTTCGTCGCCGACTGCTTTAACATCACGGTGACCGAATACAACATCGGACCCGCCGCCAAGAAGAACGCCTCGGAGGCTGGCTCGGCGGTGAACCAAACGGAGACAGAGCTGGAGACCAAGGTGGTGACGAAGGTGATCCGGGAGATGTGCATCCAGCAGTACCGCGAGTACCGCCTGGCCTCCGGCATACGGCTGCATCTCGCCGATGCCTCCCTCGCCGCCCTCCTCCTCCTCACCCTCTTCGCCATGCACTGACGTGCCCCGAATCCCACGGCTTCGAAATGTCACCCGTGTCCCCATGGGGACACCCATGAACCCCCCATGTTCTTGCTTGCGGTCATCTTTGGTGAAGAGCCCTTGGGGCGCATGGGCACAGACGCTCCCCATCACCTCCCCGGAGGCTCCGGTTTAGGCGAACGGATGAAAATTTCACTCTCTGCCCCAAACACGTCCCCGGCATGACAGGACAGTGGATGGAGCTAGTTGCCCAAAAAAATAGCCTTCGCCACTTCCTCCTCCTCGGGGCCACCCCGAGAGGGACGAGGCAGAGAGGAACTCGGCCAGTCCTTGGCATCCCTGCAAGAGCGTTTCCGAAAATCCTCTTTGCTAACAAGCAGGGTTTTACCTAATCCCCTTAGTCCCGCTGCCACCAAAAACTCTTTCCCCGGGGCACACCGCAGCGTTGCACCCGAGCACCTATATACCCCACAGGGGTTTTAGGAAGGTCAGATATGGGTTTTTCAAGCAACAAGCTGACAGGTTGCGAATTTAACCCTTTAATCCTAAAACCCTCCCTGCCTCCTGTACATACAGACCTGCCCGCTCTGTACCTTGCATGCTGCAAATACCTCCTGCAGCAATCCACAAAAATAAAGTGATTTTTTTTTTTCCCTGCAGCGAGACTGAAGCCCCGGCCGGGTTTTTGTTGACCCCCCGTGCTGCTTTGCTTTTGGTTGAGCCTCACTCTTTCTTAGCCTATCTAAAGGCAAAGAGTGCTGCTGAATGCCCCCCAAAACCCCAAAGTGGTTACGCTTGGTGTGTTACAGCCAGAGAAAAAGCTATTTTGGATGCGCTGTAGATGACAAGTCACGGTCACACTTCAGCACCATGATTTAGAGGATGTTAAAATACAGCAAAAAGGATGCTCGGGGCGGGGGGGGGGGGGGGGGGCAGTGTCAAACACGTAGCAAGAGACTTAAATCAGCTAAATCAGATGGTTACGGCAAACAGCGTCAGGAAAACCAAGCCTGAGGGATGGGAGGAGCTTAAAACAACATCTTTTGCAAGTAATTTGTGGAAGCGGTGGGTGAAACTCTTGCTCCTCGTGTTTGGGTCGATGCTGGGTTGTGTGTAACTTGTAGCATCTGTAAAGTTGCGCTTGCTGAACCAGTTGCCCCGAGTTATATTTAATATCTCTTGTGTATTTTTATTGCAAGGCACTGAATGACACCGTCCTAAATGATTTTTCGCATTGGTGTAAGCTAAATGAAGATATATATATATATATATGTATAAAAAATATCGAGAAAAGAAATCTTTCAGGATATTCACCGGAAAAGCAGGGCTTTGCGGTAACTCGTACTTTGTGATACACGAATGTTTTGTAAAACTGTAACGGTGCATGCACAAAATTTGCCGTTCCGTTACTTTTCTAAGTGTTCGACGTCTGGTACAAATTAAAACAGATAAAGCCAAGATGCACATCAGCCTTCTTCGTGCAAACAGCTCTCGCCCATCCCCGCAGCGCTGCAGACAGAAGTGGCATTTTTTGCCTTGTCTCTCCCTGCCTCCCCAGCCTGTGGGTGCCTTTGTTCCCTTTCAGCACTAAATTTGGCCTAAAACCCACAATTTCAGTTAACCTTTTCTCCTCCCCTGCTCCCACTAATGGTATTGCTACCATCCAACAAGTACTGTCTAATAAAGTCAATGAGCTGGTTGGGGCCATAGAAAGTCTTTCCCCATAGAAAGTCAACACCCTTGTATTTACTCCATCTATTTTCTTTCTAATAAAAGAGTTTTTACATTTGCTGTTTCAGTGGCATTAAGCCTGACGAACTTCACGTGAAGCCCTACTTAATGTTGCCAGAATTCCAGATCTCCCCGGTACCTAAACCAGCACCACTGTTAGATGACTCAGACTATAGCAAAGGTTAAAAATTACAATTAAAAAGATGGAAGAGTTGGACCCTTCACCCAGCCAATGCTTTAATTTTAAGCTCAAGACCAAACCTTGGACCTGTTTGGTTTGAGCCTACGTTGGATGCGATTTATTGCGCTGCAAACCCCCTTGCCCACAAGGATGCTAAAGAACTTGCTCTTTAAGCGGTGCTCCAGGTAAATCCCAAATGTGACTCGTTTGCATACTTTTGGCAGAAAAATAAAGGAAAAAACTCTTCAGCACAAAATAGATGACTATGCCCGCATACAAACATCTTGCTTGCAAAGAGGAAACCCTAAGAGGTCCGTAACAGGGATCCAGAGCTCCTGTAGGTGCTTGGAAAGAGCAAAATAAAAGCTTTTTTTTTTTTTTGCTTGCAGTTGTCTACTGGGCATCACCACATTAGTCCTGAATATTGGTAAGAGGAGCAGCAAGTGGGGAGTGGGACAAAAATACAGATAGCAGGCAGGGTTTAGTATTGGGAGCTAGTTTCCAAAATGAGGAAAATAAATATAAAACGTAAGGATCCCACACTTCACATCTTCCCTGCGCAAAAGCAATTTAAAAAATTGTGATGGAAAGGAGGATTTGGGGAATAAAAAGCCCCCGTAAGGTTATTGGGTCTGTCCTAAGCATCCCTATGGCCACTGCTCATCCTAGGCCAGCTCAGCATCCAACTGCATCCCAAAAGCTCTCCAGCTCCAAACTTTACTGGGACATTTTCTTTAGGATGTTATTTTCCCCTAAATACTCATGACCAAATATCTCAGACTTTTCATTTAAAGGGGGGGACAAGTAAATGCAAGACCCCCAAAGCCCCCAGCTCTGCTGCCCTGCAAGGAAAACTGCTCTACCTGTCCCCAAGCTACAATGGGGACTCCACTGGTCAGGGCCATGGGGAGCTTTATACAACCTTTCCTATTAATTAAGATTTTTTTCAAGCTAAAACAAGAGCTATTTCAAACTTAAAATAAAAGCAAAAGAGGTAGCAATGAAGATATGGTCCTTCCGTGATGGGCTTGGAGGACCCATCCCCTGATAGACCTTGCACTGGTAAGCTGGAGCCCAGTGGTAGGAGGAAAAAAAAACCCAAAAGAAAGACCCCCACACACACAAAGGACAACGTCCCCTGCCAAAGAAGGAACCACACACAGACACAAAGAAGGAAAAAAAAAAAAAAGCCCAACAAAGAAGGACTCCCCCCAAATGGAAAAAAAACCCCAAACCCACGGAAGGAAAAAAAACCCAACCCCAAAGGAGGAAAAAAAACCCACAAAGAAGTGGGGAAAAAAAAAAGAAGGAAACCCCCCCCACACAACTCCCCTCAAAAAAAACCAAAAGAAGGAAAAAAAAAACAAAAACAAAAAACCCCAAAGAAGGAAAGCCCCATGATTTCTCAGAACAAGTGCTGGCAGCACCTGCACAGCAAACTCCCCTGGGGAGGGTCTGACGTCAGCAGGCAGCAATACAAAATGCTCATTTTTAGCCCCAAAACCCCCCATCTTCCCTGTACTTCACCCCAACACGGGGAAGCTGCTCCAGGGGGAAACACTGCCGTCAGCAATGCTCAGACGAGCTCAAAAAAACCCAACCCCGTTCCCCCCCTGCTCTGTGTGCACAGCACCCCATTTCTTTTTTTTAACCGGTGTGGGGTCCTGCGCAAGTAATTGGGTTTTGTGGTGATTATTGGAGCCGTTCGCTCGCTGCTATGGGGTCGGTGGGGAACAGCGGAGCTTTCCTGGCTCTGGCAGCACTCGAACAGGACATGGGGACACTTGGATCCAATAACCCTGGACCCCTCTTGGCCCCTACGAGTGCTCTGTTGAACCAGATAAATTAATTGCTCTGTATTAATTAGCTAAATACTCCAAATCCTGCAGCGTGGGCAGGAGCCTTGCTGCCAAGCGAGGACGGGAAGCGTTTCTGCTTTACCAGGCTGATAATAAATACACCTCAAAGTACAAAGGCAATAACATTTTGGGGATTGTATTTTTTTTTATACTCTTCTCCAAATTGCCTGCCCCCCCCCCAGTGCTTTGCATCCCTCATCTCCACAAATAAGCATCCCCCGTGCTGGCAGAGCAAGCGAATATATTTTTCTTGCCTGAAAAAAACGGCAAAAAGAGGATTTTTGGTGCAGCGCTGGACTGTTTGCAGGGAGCTGGAAGAAAAACAGTCTTATTTAGAGGCATCACATGCAAAGCAACTGCCCAAACCTCATGGTGGGGGGTGATTTTATCCCTGCATCTGAGCCGGTGTTGGAGATCAGAGGCGATGCGTTGCTGAGCGAACAGCACCATCTCCCGTCTGAGCCCAGCCCCGGCTCCAAGGATCAGCCCTGGGGATGGTTTTGCAAGACTGGGTCTCCCCAAAAAAACCTCCAAAATTAGGCTGAGCTTTGCAGCCAGCTGCGCTGGAAGCCGGTGCTGGCTCAGTTGCTGTTTCAGAACAAAAATGCACGAAAATGCCTTGACTTTGCCTGCAACCACTCGCCCAGAAAAACACATCTCGGCATCTGGGGTTGCTCACGAGCAGCCCCGCTCCCCTGTACGAACACGCAACCCCAAAACTCCCCAGCACAAGGTGATTAACGAGGACATTAATTGCTTTTAAGGCCTTTTCCTGCAGCACAGCCCTTTGCAAGGGCTGAAAATTAAACTGGGAAGGGAGGGGGATCAGAGCGTGTCCCCATGTATTGCACGCTGGCGGGAGGGAAAAAGCAAAAAAAATTTGGGAATGCGATGTCGGAAGCGCGGGATCATCCCTGCGGTGTTTCTGAGCTCTGGCTGCAAGTTAGGGCTGTGAGCGAAGGATGCTCGTGACGGGGTCCGGATGTCAGAGCAGGTCTGGATGCAAAATATATGTTGGAAGAATGTAAATTTGAGCTATGGCTAGAGTTTTTGCTGGGTTTATTGTTTATTTGAAACAAGCACATTAAAAAAATAACCCCTGTGTGCATTATAGGAACAGTTGGATTTGTTCAACCTGAAAGCTGTCCTTAAGCCAGGGGAGAGATCACGGTGATTTGGACAGCCGTTAAGAGCATCGGCTTTGGGGGCATCCCCTGCTCACCTGCTCCGAAAGGCTATTAAATCCCTCAGGAGTCAAATGACTTCTGTAAAATTTAAGTCATTATTGTAAAAGAGGCCAGAAAATCAATGTACATCGGCCAGGGCTCCTTCCACCCCTCAATAGAGGCGAGACCCGACTCAACAGCTCTCCTGGGGAGATGATAAGGATATTCATACCACCAAAACCCACTAATTCCAGGGGGACACGACCCGCTCACAGACATCCAGGCTCAAAAATACTTCAGCGAAGGACTTACCTGCTGGAGGATGGTGACTGCAGCTGCCCACAGGCTTTTTGGGGGATCCCCAATATTTCACTTGGTGCCTCTTTATGTTCTTTGCTTGCAGCAATGGTTTTGCTGCTGCAGCTAAACCAGGTTTTAGGGGAGGTTTAACCACCGAAGACAGGGACTAGAGAAGAAAAATGCAGATGCTGGAGGGGAAAGCATCCCTCACCGAAGCTCTCCCTCTATTCCCAGGGAGGATTTGGATCCTCTCTGCCAAACACGAAGCACCTGAGGGAGGGTCAGGCCCACAGCTGGGTGCATTTTGGGATGGGGATGCTAAAGACCGGGACGTGTTTGATCATATCAAAGCCAGAGAGATGGGACGGGGCGGGGGGGGTTTGTCCCCGAGCATCACGCTCACCCCCCATCGCAGCATCCCTCGAAGATGTGGCTCTTCCTGGGGTTGCGAGCAGTGCTAAACACGGTGGATTTGGTTAAAAAAAGGAGAGGATGTCTCAAGGCCAAACTTTATTGCAAGGCAGAAGGGGGTCCGTTTTCAAGCCCCGCATCCCCCCTCCCCGAGTCCCAGCGCTCTTTTGGGGGGAAAGGAGCGTTTTTTTGGTAAAGCTGTGCAACGGGAAACTAGAACCAAGCTCTGGCAGGGCTGATCCAGCATCTCTCCGGGTGCAAATATCCACACGTCCTTGCAGGGCTGGATTTGCTCACGTACGCGCTCTTGCAGCTGGGGGGTTGCAGGATCCGGCCGGCTCCCGGGTGGCCCCGCGAGCGCGGGGACGGCTGCCCAGCTCCAGCTGCCGGCCCAGGGTCCCATCGCGCTGGCGGGGGGGCAGGAAACCAAGGCAGCGGCGGAGCATCTCTTCCACCTCCCCAAGCCACGTCTAATCTCCCAGGAAAGTCATTCGCTAAGAAATCCCGGCGGGCTCGGCCGGCCGGGGGGTCACCCGGGGTCCCCGCCTCGTGCTCAGCGCTGCAGCCCGTGGCTGACGAAGCAGACGACGGGTGCCAGCAGCAGAGCGGGACCGATGCCACCACGCCGGTCCCCGGAGGCTCGGCTTGGGGGTCCCCGCTTGGCACCCATGTCCGGCCAACTCGGGGCGTGAAAACCGCCCGCCGGCGGGGGCTGCCGGGCCGCCGGGACACCGTGACCCAGGCGGGATGGCCGTGGGCGCCCCAAAAGCCCCATGCCGTACCCCGCAGCGGCGCCGGCCGCGATGGCCCCTGCCACCTTCGAGCCACGGCCGGGGGTGCCACCGCCGCGGGAGACGGCCCGAAAGCCCCCGCGCAGCCCCCCGCCGCCGCCGCC